GGGGGGGGGGGTGGGGGGGGGGAGGGGGGAAAGAGAGGAGATTGTAAGACAGACTACTGTATTAGTAAGAGACACGTACAGAGGGGAAAGACGACGATTGTCACGACGAAATGGCGACGACGGGCTAGGCTCGTCATTGGAGTATGAGTACGGCGTTGTGAGCAGGATGGATGAAGGATGGATGGAGACAGGTGGATTTACCCGTAGATGTGTGGGCGGAAATGCAAGCGTCATGCGTGCACTTTAGATTTTAGGAGAGGGTGTGTGGGTTTTGCTGTCCCTTTCGGGGTAGGAATTCAAAGGGGGTGAAAAAGGTGCTGGGAGGGCAGAACCCTGTAGGGGGGTTGTTTTTTGGTTTCCCGGCAGATAACGGGCGGGAGTCCCGGGTGGGGGGGGGGGGGGGGCGCTCGTTGTTTCGTTGAATGCATTTACACGTCGTTTATTTTCTGATCGGGCTGGAAAGTGGGGGCAGACAGGAACGTTTTTTTCAACATGGACATATATATTTTCAACTTAATAACGAAGCGCCTTTATTGATGCGCCGTTGGTTGTACCTGTCGTCGCCCCCCCCTGGCGGGCGTTGACCATCTTGCGGCTGATGACGAAGTTCCGCTCGAACATATCCTTGGCCTTGGCGTGCTGCCTCCGCCTGCTGTGCAACACGCCGAGGTTGCTACACGCCGCCTCCTGTAGAGGAGTGAACGTGCCCGACCACGAACCAAAATAAAGGAGAGAACGATCGGATGACACCGTGCATGTAAGAAGTGTGAGTCGGGGTTGGAGGAGTTTTATTGCGGACGCGGTCTGCTCTTCCTATTGTAGATGGTTGGGGCGATCTCTTATTTATTAGTGAACAAGCAACGGATCGTTAGACAACCACGATGTTGCTATGTGTTCTCGGCAAAGTTATACTTCGCCTTGCTGGGCTCCTCCACGTATGTATCTCATCATCAGGGTGCTGTGTAGTCTGCGTGGAGATGCACAACATTTTGTTTCTGCACACGCTTTCATTGTTGTTGTGTGCTGTCTATCCAAGCAAATTGAAGCCTAAGGAAAGTCATCTCGCATGAATGCGTGCTTTGTGCGTTTTCGTGAGGGACTTCTTCATGCCCCCCATATTTTCAACATCCCTACCGCCCCCACCCTTATCCCCACCCACCCACCCCACCGGTCATGTGCTGTTAATTTCTCCTGGCGATCCAATCTTGGCTAGAAAAACTAAAAGCAAGCGACCCATCAAGTGTCTGTCTCATTAACTGACCTGAGCCCCTAAGTTCTGTGTTTTGCTGGCGACGTCGAGGTAGCTTTGGAGGAGAGAAAGCGCCTTGTCGTCATCCCCCAGGTTCTGCTCAGCGAGTCAGTCCGAGTCGCGACACGTCGGTTGGAGGGAGAAAGTCGTCCGATTAACAGCCGAAGACAGCAAAGTCGAAGAAAAAACTACAGCAGCACGACAGAGTTTTTATTAATTAAGTGCACGTGATGGGTCAAAGCCCTTGAGGAGAAATCCCCGTCGCGTTGTCGAGGAATCGGAAGGGTAAGATAGATACCCAAGAAACTCTCCCTGACCAAGAAACTCAAAGACCCAGTTTTCAAGGGAAGTTGTGACCACGTTCTGATTTTGTTTTGCGAGAATCACTTCCATGTGTACCTTTGCCCAGCCTGCTCCCGGTCACCCCCACCAACCCACCCCCTCGTCATCATCTCACTTGATGCACGGCCGCTAGCGCTTCATACGCCTTCCCCTGCCCCTCGAGGTCGTCGAGCTCTGTGGATATGCTCTGGAAGTCTTCCAAGTAGTTTACCGCTCTGCGCAGATGTGTGAGGAGGGTGTGCGTGTGTGTTGGGGGTGGAGGGATGCTACTCAAACCGTACACACCGAAGTCCAGGGCGTTGACGTAAGCCAGACATATCGAGAGAGGTAGGGAGAGAGGCTAGACACGGATGGTTGGGACGCGCGAAAAAATGAAACTGTAGCTGTTGGGCTCCCCTCTCTCTCTCCTCTTCCGACGATGATCTTGTCAGTCGTAGATGGTGGGTGTGCTAGGGTTGAACGACGAGGACAACGTCAACTGACACCAAGGAACAACGACAACGACGTTGACAACAGAGACGGAAGTGGCAAGACCTCGTGGGATCCTCGAGCTCCGTGTAAGCCTTGCCGAGGCGGTAGCATGCCTGTCCCAGGGCGGCCTGGTCCCCCGCCGACCTCGCCGCCTCCAAGCTTTTGGCCCAGAACTCGATGGACTCCTTGTAGAGCCCCCCCGACTCGCGCTCCTCCGCGAACTTCCGGTACACCTGTGAGACGAACGATAACGAAGGGTAACAAGAACATAAATCGAAAGCGTAAACTCTCATGGACAAGGACGGGGGACAAGAAGAAGGAGATGGTGATGATGGTGTTGTTAATGCGGTGGTGTTACCTTGTGTGTGTTCGACGTGTGGTGTAACGCGTGAGATTCAGCAACACGCGTCTTGGTTGTCCCTCGTGCAGTGTGGCATGGCGTGGCGTGTGGCGTCGTGTTGGGGCGGCTTGGCTATATAGGACGGCGACGCTGAGGACAGGGTTTCCGTATTAAAACCTCGGAGGCAACGTTACGTCATCGTCCAACTGTCCATTCATGTACAAGGACGGCTGATGTCGTGTTGCGGCATGTAACTCACGTTAATGAGAGACTTGTTGGCTTCCTTTTGTTCGTCCGGGATGTCCACCGCAGTTGCCAGCTCCTGGTGCCTCTCGTGGTAGTTTGTCGCCGCCACCACGTCTCCCTGCGGCAAAAACAGTTACACGATATGTGTCTACAATCGGGATCTCGGTGGGCACACCTACAATGTCGCGGGGTCGAATTGATTGTGTGATGTATCCATCGACAGCAGGAAGAGGAGTTCCCCTACACGGTGTCCCAGCAGTGCATGGAGATACATCGCTGACGCCTTGAAACGACAACGTAAGATGCGACGGTGGCAAGCTAGCAGAAGCAGCAGCAGCAGCAGCTACAACAACAACAATAGCTATAACCGACGAGGAAATGATTTCACCATTTTCTCGTACGCGACTCCGAGACGGTGGTTCGCGCTCATCTCGCCTCCCCTGTCGGCGGTCAGGCGGCTGATTTCCAGGCACTTCTCGTGGAAGTACACCCCGGTCTTGGGGTCGTTCATCTCTTGGTAGTACTGCGCCAGGCTGTGTGTTTTGTCGCAGGTGTAGCCGTATGTGCGGCGGTTAAGTTTAACCGGGGTTTGTCTGCAGCCGTGCTTCGTCGCAGCGTTTTCATTGCGTAATATCATGTTGCCTTACGTGAGTTGTTGCTATGCAGTCTGCGTAGCGTTACAAACGCCAGAGGTGTGCGGAGCGATCACTCCTGCAGATTGCATGGGGTGTTTTGTGGCGTGGAAAGAGTAGAGAGAATATGGGGGTTATTTACAATCCACGAATACACGAGACTACGCGCTCATCAACGCGAATCGGGTCTGGGAGGCAAGCGTACATGACTCCTGCAGGAAAACAAGCCATGCAAACCCGAGGAAGCAGGGAGACGATTGTCTGGCGTGTCTGTAGCTGGTCCACATATGTGCGTGCGCATGTGCATGTTTCCGCTTTGCTACCTGTACGCCCCGCTACGGCATCTGGTACACGCAGTATCGCCTCACGAATGGAAGGTTCCAAGACGGATACGCAGCAATCTTACGGCTGCAATGATTGGGTTGCCGAACGTACATCTCCTCATTTGCGGTGGGGGTGCTGTTGGCACCATCGCCACGAAAGGAGAGTCACGGCGCCACATCATGCTGCTCCTACTAGTGCTGTGCAGCGGGATACGCGATGAAACTTGCGCCACTCACTGCTGTACATCTGAGATACGCTACCGGACAACCAACCTGTTGTAAGCCTTGTACACGGCGGCGGTGTCTCCTCGCCGTCGAGCACTCTCCGCCGCGACCAGGTTATCCCTGATGAAAAGCATCTCTCGCTTTGGGACGTTGACCTCCGCCGAGCCTTCCCCTGGATCCGTGGCATCTATTGCGTGGTTTGTGCCGCCGCAGAAGAAAACGCATACACCGGTAGCGTTGATACAGTGCAGCAGAAAAGAAGAGAGTCGGGCGTGTGCGTACTTTGAAATCAATGGCGAATTATCGGACTTAGAAGATCGGAACCCAGTGAGAATACCGTGAGGAGACTGAGGAGAGGAGATACGGTAGGGATATGCCACGACCCGGCGAGCATTCCGGTTCAGCTTCGGTTGGATCTACCAGACACGGAAGTCTCACGACTAGTCTTCTAGTGGTAACAATGCCGTGTGTCCTCGCAGGTTTCATGGGTACACCTGTTTCAGCATACATGCGTAATGCGGTGCCTACCAGTGCACTTTCGAAAGAGGTGCACTTTCGCAACGCATCCGTCCATATTGTAGCGACAGCAGGGATGCACCCTTGGTATATAGTAACGACATGCGGCCACGAAACATCCTCTCCAATGGTGCTGAACAACGTGCTGCAATAGAAGGCACAACGAACGGCAGTATCTCTCTTCACCGCAGTCCTTCCTACCTTGCACAGGGGCTGGTCTGTGCGTGAGGTAGAAAAAGTCGACGAACGTTTGCACGTGTCCCCCCGTCAAGATGTCCTCGCAGATTGCTCTCCGATCCACGCCCTCCAGATCCTGCTCCGAAATCTGATCCTGATGATTGCGGCTGCTTCTATTGCTGGTAATACTTCCACCTGCCAGGCGCGTCCCCGCTACGGCCGAGCCCTGCGAACCGCCTGATGTTCCCGTGTCACCCGCGGAGACGGCGGCAGAACGATTCCGTAGCCGTGACTTGCGTTGCGGCCCGCTGGTGCGAGCTGGCACGGTGGTGACCCCGACTGCTTGCATCTCGTCAATAGCCTGTAACAATACACGTGTAGACTTGTGTGAGTATCACGAGAAATACGATCCCAAGCTGTTGTTAAGCCGTACGTGCAGTGTTTACAGTGTTTTCCCCACCCCCCCTCCGCCACCTATCTATGCGACTCGCAGAATACCTCACGGCGTTTCGTGCTCGGTGATTTTAAAGCCCGGTCTGGTGAGAACCCGGTCTGGTGAGAACCCGGTCTGGTGAGAACCCGGCGTGCTCCGTCCCGGCTTTGCAGGGATGCGAGGTCAATGGTCTATATGTAACGATGCAGGACTATGAGTTCACCCCGCCCCCTCAACCAGACGTGTACAAAATGAGTACGTAGGACACATAAAGTTTTCTACATAACTTCTTTCTAAAAATATGAAATCCTCGCTACAACGGGTTCCAAGACGCCAACCTTGGGTCCGGTCCCTGGCCCGTAGGCCCTTTCTCTGATGTAAGTTTGTTCTTCTCTCAGTATCAATTCCTCAATAACCCAGTCAGTCCCCGCCGAGGAGAACACTCCAACTATATTTGTTGCATCTACAGGTATTGTTGGAACAAGTAGTGTACGTACGTTGCGTGTGCGTGTGGCTCGCGAAACATAGTCTACATCAGCATCGCGACATGAGATGCAACAGATCGTTTGAAGCGGAGACTGCACTGTCGACAGCAATACTGCTGTGTATGCATAGCATTTCCAGTGAAAGAGGCAAAAAAGAATCAGATTGAACGTGTAGTCTACGCACAGCCGGTTAGCGTGGTGGATGCTCAATAAAAGACTCACCTTGAGATCGTTTCGTTCGAATGGATCTTTGCCCTTGCTTCCTTTCCGTCGCAAGGCGCCAGCCGAGGGAGCACCATGCTCGGTCATTCGTCGTGTCCCCATCGTGGTTTAGTTGTCCTCTCCCCTTGCCCTTTTTAGGAAGAATCAGCCGAAGAAGGCAACCCTCTCCAAGTCTTTGAATCGCTTTTGACACAGCACAGGAGAGGGAGCACTTTACGATCTTGACAGAAAGGACAACAGGAAACCGGGGGGACGAGAGGAGAAACGCGGCGAGATTAATGGAAGCTTCCGAAACCGCGATGCGAAACGGAACATACATGAGTGATAAGGTTCCAAACCGCAATGCGAAACGGAACATGACCGACAAAAACCACGAGCAACACAGCAGCAGCAGTTTAGGGGCAGCGGAGTGGTAGAGTGTAGGCGGGTTACACGTGTACACGTGCTTTCGAACAGAAGAGTATCCTTATCTTATCGAACTCGACAAGAACTGAACATTGGACGTTCCCTAGCACGTCTGGCGGGATATCTCGTTGCTGCGGGTCGGGCGCAGTATCGTATCTTTGTAGTGTAGTCGAGTCAATTCTCACTCGGCAATGATTCTCAGGCAGACAGAGCCTGGATTAAAAGTACAATTGCTCTGTGTGCAGCCTAGTCTATACCGCTGTCTAAGACAGTAGTGGGATACATCGTATTGTAGGCAACTCTTTAGCTTGACCGCGACATCTACTCTACACCTTCGGCTGTCAGATGCCAGACTTGTTGCAAGACCAAGTCATTCAGGTACCGGCAGCATGTTTAAGGGGGCGGATACCCAACGCCGTGGAAAAAGTGCCCGTTTCGACCTACTTATCGGCTGGAAAATCAGAAAAGAATTACACACACACGGTCGTTTCATCGCGGCCCATCACAGCGGAAAACTATGGCAATAACCCGAACCCTCAAGCCTATCAATCACACAGACAGCGGGGGCGGAGAGGGTGAATTTGGTCTCCCTTACGTTTTTGTGTTTGTGTTTGATAACAACAAGATGGTGATGTGAAGGGTATCGTTTAGGGGGTGAAAGAGGCCGCACTCATCGTGTGATAGCTGGACGAGTCTTCCATTGAAATGTCCTCCCAGATGGAGGCACCGCCCCCTTCGTCCAGCCTACCAGAGTACAAGGCAACAGCGAGAGCACTGCTGTGGTTTCAACGACTAATATGTAGTCTAAACAACAATTGATTCTGCCTTTTACAATTGAGTTTGTATCTTGTTCAAATGTCTTCCAAGATTGTCACCCGTGTAACCTCGCAAGACTTGGGGTCGTCAGTAGAACAAACGGAAATACTAGTCTTGCTTACTCGCAGCCCACAGGCGATATACTGCAACACTGACGAAGTAACCCCCAGGGCTGCCTCGAAAATGAACCAAGATACGAGCACGCACATGGCACGGCACGCCCCATTTTCTGACCGCACATCCGAATCCGGGTGTGAAAAGGAAGAACGAGCAACCCGCATACTACAAACCTCTCCGTTCGACCGGGTGTACCTTACAACACCCGAACTGGTTCGCGTCCTGTTGACGCGTTGTGGTTGCTGTCGTTGTTATTACCTTCACGTTAAAAACCGTTCCGATCTATCTCTACCCCGTGCCTTCAAACACCCTCCATTTCCTATCACATTGGTCACAGGCTAACTACCTCAAAAGGGTACCATGACAAATCGTACAGCCTATCAAAGGACCCAGAAGAATCAACACAATCAATTGCGATGCACTGATGATGTAGAATACTGTAGCATCAAAATAACTAAATCCCCAGACAGTCAAACGTCCCAAGCGACCTGTCGGGGCAATGGATACTTGCTTGAGCCCATCGCTCTCGATAAACGAGGCCAGGAAATAAAAAATCAAAATCAAAATCGCCAAAGCCTAATCAATCAAGACAATTTTGCCGCAGGTTCTATCCGTGCATTCTACCCCTCCTGGGCCAGAGTATATTTACCACGGGTGTGCGTCAGCCATTCCAATTCCCCACAAATCAAGGGTACTGGGGGAAAGATCAAGACTTGGGCGATACCTTTAAGCTCCTGTCCAGAACGAAATATGACGCTTTACCCCACACATACATACATACATACATACATACATACATACATACATACATACATATCATGCCGGAATGCGTCTCGCTCCGGTCAAGTAACCCTCGCCGCCGTACGCAGGCACATGAAAAAGGGTACACACATGACCAGTACAGATCAAGTATTGTAGCAGCAGCACAGACAGACACCAATGACGAAGCTACAATCCATCACTCTCGTCGTCGGCGTCATCGGCTCCCTGCTCCAGCTCCCACCACGGCACCATCCAATAGTCAAACTGAACAGAACGAACGAAAACGAACGAGAACGAACGAGAGGTCGTGTAGTGCCGCCGAGAAAGCAATAGTCAGACAACGAACGGCAGCTGCCCAGGAAAAAGCAAAGTTCTTTTTTGTTTCTCGAACGGTCATGATATATCGAATGGGCGACACACACACACACACACACACACAGAGGGGGGGGGGGGAGAGAGAGCTCCAAGGTTGAGCGTGAGCTTCATCTGAGAACCGCAGAAGAACCGTCCGGTCGTCATCTCGTGTACATCAGACCGCCTACGTAAACCAGGAATACAAGACCGCCATCGCCCCCTCCCCTACATTTACTCCCCCGACAACCCGTCACACCTTCCTCCAGATGTAGTAAGCCCCGTAGTTGACGCTCTTATACGAAGAGTTGGAGAACTCCTGAAACACCACCTCCAAGACGCGCCTGCGCAAGCTTTCTACCACCTGCGAAAGTGGTAAGCAGCGTGCCGTCTATTCAGAGGCGGAGGTGGTACGGGGTGGGTTCCTCTCGAGAGGATGCCATGCTCAAGGAGGGACAACGCATGTGCGACATACATGGGCATGCGCGCTGTAGACGCTGGCAGCACATGTACCGCCTCCCCAAGCAACATCAACCTACCCACCCCTTTCTCTCCCGCGCTTTATGTGTATGTATGTGCTGCGCTCTTCCGTCTTTCAATCGTCTTGGTTGTGCTACGTAGGATTTGTTTAATGTCAATTTTGACGGAGTTCAACACCCCCCTCCCGCACCCTCCGAGGTTTGCTACGCCCTCCGAGGTTCGCTACCAACTAGTATCCGCACGACGGGAAGAGCACGAGCGTCAATAACCGACGCCGTTAAAAGATCTCACTGAAATCCGGGGAAAAGGGGTCACACACCACTTCAGAACCATCGTCGATGTCGAGATGTACGCTTTGTATTAGAAATAGAACGGGGGTGGGGGGGCTGGGATTAACCCTGTCAAGAAATATAATACGGACCTCCGGGTGTTCGTTGGCGAGGTTGTTCAATTCCCTAGGGTCATCCTCGAGGTCGAAGAGCCAGTCCGTGTAGTCGATGCTCAGGCTCCCGCAGTTGGCCCCGCACTGTGAGCACTCCCCTAGCTCCTGGCAGGTGTTGTCCTCGTCCGTCAGGTCGTCCTAGTATCCATTCCAATGGTGGGGGGCGTTACCGTTAACCTTGTACGTGAGTGGTGCTGTGTCTGTTGTTGTTTTTTTGCTATTTTTTGCGAAAGAAAGAGCCGTAAGGAGCGAGAGAGAGGAGCTTGTGGTCTTGTTTTCTTGTTTCTTTGGTCAGCCCAGTGCAATGCTACATACTGTAGAAGAGACATGGCGCACAAAGTAGACTAACAACATGGAACACAACGGAGGAAGGGGGGCGGGCGGGCAAAAGGGATACACAATCAACACACGGACTGTTGAATGCACACTGATCAAGTTCAATGGTCTAAGGCGCTGGGCGGCTTGTGCGTGCCCTTTGACACGCAAACATTCCAGCCCACCCAGTGAAGACCACGACCCGGATAAGAGCCAAACACACAAAATCCTTGGAGGCAGAGGGGAAGTAACAACTGAATCTTCCATCCAATCACCCGATTCCGGTCTGTTATAGCTACTGGAACGAAAACGTAGATGGCTGTGTCGCTGGCTCATACGTAGCAAGTACGTCCACCCACCGCGAGCAAGGTCTTGTTGTCGAAGGCGTAGTAGCCGGAACACCACGAGTTGAACATGAATTTCCATTTACCCTGGCGGAAAGCTCCCTGTACCTCGGTGAAGTCGGCTTCGCCGATGCTGAAAATAACGAGAACGCAACAACAGCAGTCGTAAACAATGAAAACCACGGTAGTATTCTACAGTGGTGAGAACACAGCAAGTAGGGTACTTGAAAAAGATCAAGAAATAAGATAAATGGCAACCACGAACGGCAGACAGACAGCGCAACGAAAGACGAGAGACAGAAAGACGAAAGCGGGCACAAACGGGCTCCAGGGGGGTCGGAGGAAAACGACGCATGTATGCGCATCGAGCAAGTGTCGGAAACAAGCGGACTATGTAGCACACACACAGGACGAGCCGACGCTCATAGGAAATCAAGTAGGCACACGCACATACTCTTCGAACCGTTTCAAAAGCGAGAGACGAAACACAATGTGGAAGAATACAAGCAAGATCTCCCGGCAGGATGGACAGAGGACAGCAGGAATGCCGAAAGAACGAGAAACAGAAGCAATATACAACACATGCATGCACACAAACCTTCAACAGGGTCAACGGGAACTCAATACTCACTCGTCGGTGATGTTGGCCCCCAGAACATACGGGTCGAAGTTGTACAGAACCTCCCTCCTGGCACCGTACGAGACCTCACCCAAGCCGTAGCTACTGCCACCGCCACCGCCACCACCACCGCCACCGCCACCATCAACCGCCGCCGTAGCCGTCCTCGCTCTCTTCAGTCGGTTATCCTCCACCGCCGCCGCCGCCTCCGGCGACTCAGAAACAGTAGCGGTGTCATCGCCAGGAGCGGGGACGATGTGCTTCCAGTGGCTTACTCCGTCAAGGTCTCCGTGGCTGTGTGCATACAAACAGTCGCGCCGTTCAGGGGGAAAAGGGAGATTTTTCAGTTGTGCATGCTTTGCCGCAGTGACGCGAGAACGGCGGGCAGTCGTCGGGGGTCGGGGGTGGTGGGCGGGGGGTCGATCGACAACTGGACGAAACTCTTGCCACAATGGTTGCCGAGGAGCATTCCTTTCCCAAAATTTGGAACGCCGAAGGAGGGAAATCAGGTTAGACTTGCGTCTTTTGGTTTCGGCTTCATTTAATTTTCATCCCTTGTTGTATCCAATAGCTAGCGTCGCTGAAACTTTCTCGTCTACGAGACAGAGGAGTACACACTTTTGCCTAGTTTCGGCGTCCTGAGCATCTCAAAACTAAAGAGCATAGCCTACTTAGAGGATGATGACAGCCCACTGCCCTCTTTTTCGGCACTCCCCACCTGCCGAGAAGCTCGAAGTTCGCCGCGTCCGCCAAGGTAGGCAGCCAGTCGGTGACGTGCATGAGTCCGCGGTACTCCGTGCCCCAGTGTTCTTCTGGGATGTGGCTAGGAGAGTACACAAATGCAGGAACCTGCACGAGTAGATGGGTGCGTGCGTAGGTAAAAATAAAAACTATATGTGTTCATACAACAACAATAACAGCAAGCATCAACAAATAGAAGCCCCGTCCCGTCCCAAAGTCCACAGTATGCGCTACGGTGCCTAGACTGAATGTGGCTAAAGGCACGTCCTATCCATTGAGCCCAACCGGAGAGTGGTTATGAGAGCCCATGCACGCAAATTCCTAGTGTACCTCTACACAAGCTCCTATCAACGGGGTCGGTATGTATGCTGCAGATTCGACCTGGGGTAAATATCCACCACCCCCATACATACAATAACATGTGTGTGAGCTAGGCATGCACAGATTTCCCAAGAGAAGAGAAGTACTCAGGCGCGTGCCCATCCGACACAATGCCGTCAATGCACTACAGACCGCTCCCCGTCCAAACAAAATCGGTTGTGTTCATCTACAGCTCAAGTTGGCCACGCTCAACAGGATATGCTCAAGACAAACAATGCCCTATATTTCCCCCAAAACACCTTCTCCCAAGCGTTCTTGTCGCGGAGTTTTACCTTAACCCCGCCCTCCCAGTTGGAGTGCTTGAGCCCCCTCAGCGGGTAGTTGCTGCCACCGGTCGACGGGCACCCGCCGTTGTCACTCGCCACGACGATGATGGAGTTCTCCAGCCAGCCTTCGGTCTCGAGATAGTCCACCAGCCTACCGATGCTCTTGTCCAGGTACATCAGCACCTGGTTGTTTTTTGTGGGGGTTTTTGTAGAGGGAAGAGGGAGGCCGGGACGGTTTATTGCAATCAATTATCGTTGCTGTCCTAACCGTAGTGTTAAGTACGTGCTCCCTGCAAGGCGGAGCACCGAGGGGGGTGGGGGGAATACATACAGCAAGGCAGAGCTCAAACTTCATTCGATCCTTCAAGCATTTAGCGATCTCCACACAGGTGCCTCGGTCGCGACCTTGCTTTTGCGCAACGGTCTAAACGAAAATTTCTCCCGCAGCCGTCTGCATGAAAGTCTCCTCTGCCAGGAAGAACTACATCACAGATATGACAAAGAACAGAAGATGCGATGATTCCAGCTAGCCTTTTGCACCAGGCTGAGCAAAGCAGGCGGCGGTCCCCGACTTTCTCGCTCGACCAATCGTCAACAGCGTATGTATAGGTGAAGCCAACAGACAGAGAGGGGCGTACAATTCGCGTTGCACAGTCTCTACTTGGCAATCGGGAGAGGGCACGTTAAAGCGCGGAGAGAGAATGGGGGCGTTCAGACGGGGTGGTGGCGATCGGGGAGCGGGGCGATGAAGTATTTCTTCCCAAAACGTTCCGAAGCCTACAGGCAGGCCGGCAGGCCAGAATAAATCACACCGCTACCGCGGAGAACAGCACCCACTCTCCGTTCTCCACGAGGAAAACGGCTCGTCAGCCCCTTCATCGTCTACTGTATGTAGTCCTTCTCCGTAGTCTCACCTTGGCGAACCTGACGCGAAGAGATGCGTCGGAAGACTCATCCTCCAGGGCAGTCAACACGGCCCATTCCTCGGGGCTGAAGGCGTCTGCGGTTGGATGTGGTGTCGTTGACGGTGGTCATAATCGTGATTATCGTTCAGTGTTACTGGGTGAAGATCATGATACTTATTTACTCTTACGTTCGTGCTGGGAATTGAGAGCACAGCGGGATGTAGGAAGAGGGGGGAGTACGAGGGCATGCAGTGAGTGGTGTTTTCGCTTTGGTTCCGCCTCTCCGCAGAGATTTCCTGATCCAAGCCCCCACGCGGGCATTCAACGAGGTGTGCGATCCTCCTACCTCGAACGAAAGGGGACAATTGAGGACCACAGTACCGTGTCTCTGTACGTGGCAGACCCTGGGTTGCGCACGAAAAAAATGTTCTTGAAACGTACGTAGAAATATCCAGAAAAATCCAGAACCAAAACCAGGAGAGCATGTCTGGTTGTCCGCCGTTGTTGTACCATCTCTGCACTATTTTTAAGTCTACGACAGCTACAACAGCTGAGAACTCCACCACTACCACTACCACTACCACCACCACCACCACCACCACCACCACCACCACCGCCAAAGGCGGCAACAGCAACGGTGCGGCGAGACCTCACCGGCGGGAGGAACACCCAGGGGATCGTGGACAGCCTGGTGCGACAGGTATAGGAATAGCGGGTTCTCGTCGTGCGGGGTCTTCTGGCTGAGAATCTAACGACGACGGACAAAGAAAGCAAGCAAGAAGGAAAAAACGTGTTACTTTGGACAGTTAGGCGACCTTGGTATCCCGGAGTGGACCGACCTGCTGAGGGTGCCACGAAAGAATGATTGCTGGGATGTCGTGGAGGGGAGGGAGGGCATCTTCGTGACAAGGCGAGAGGGGACGTACGGGGTCAATCGACCGAAGAAATAAACCACACGCCAAGCGAGGAGATGAGATATTCAGCGCATGCTCTGAGCTCACCAAAAACATCCGAAGCAAAATCAGCGCTATTGATGCTGAACACACGCATCGAGGACAGCAACGAGTTCTTACATCGAGAACTTTGTTCTTCGAAGACGGTTAAGAAGGGAAACGAGCGAGCTCCAGGGAGGCCTGGGACAACAACAACAACAGCACAGAACAACAAGAACTCCCCCTTCACCTCCAACGCCCGGTCCGTGAAAATCTCGGTGGAGTAATCCCCCTTGATCTCAAGGGAGGAGGAGTAAACGGAGCTCGTGGGGCCCGTGGAGACCAAGTCATCGTCGCCGGGGGGCGGGTCGAACCTCTCGATGACGTCATAGAATCCGGTCGCGTTGCCGAACCCGAAGTCGAAGAACTTTCGACCGTTTATGGTGGCTGTCCAGGTCTGATGTGTAACCGCACACCACACAGAGATGGATACGAAGGAGTTGTAAGGTACTAAAGGAGTAGAGTACGGCCTAGTCTACGCTAGCCGCGGTAAAAACAGCGTGGCCGTACAAAGTTCACGAATGGCTCCGTCCAACCTCTGGACGTAATCGTACCTAATGAAGAGCGAGAGTTAGGGCACAACACATGCCCTGTGATGAAAAGTGACGACGCCAGCAACGAATCACCCGTCCATCGGCATGAAGTAGGTAACTATTAATACTGTGAAACGTCCTTGAAGTGCAGCACTCGGAAGAAACGCAGAGGGTGCCAACGAAGTCGTGAAGACGAAACTAATGTTTTAGTCAGGTGATTGCTCTTGTGTGACCCCGGCTGTTGCGTCGAGCACGTTCCGAAAACGTGCAGACTGGGACCTAGAACAGATGGCACGAAAACGTTCTGGTTGCGACGACAAGCAGGGTTAACTCTCAGAGAATAGTCCATGTTGAAGTAAAAAAAGCCAGCACGTCGACGGAGGGCCGGGGGGGGGTTGTCGGGGAGACGAGAACGTGCATGCGACCTCGGACCAGAGTGAATTAGACTCCACGAAACATGCGGAGTAGGGGGGGGCGGACTGCCGCATGCGACGGCAATAAGTTACACGCCTCAATAGGCGAACAAAGATGTATCGAACTCTGCTAATGAGTACGTTTCCTACAAAATAGGATACTAAGAAACATGCACGAAATGCAAGACAGAGTTTGGCACCAACCCCAGACAACGCACGACACTCTGCGCGTGAATGTACTCAAACGTACCTGGTGCGTCCAGTACATCTCCTCATCATTGAGGTAGCCGAAGTACGTCTCGAAACCCCTTCGGTGGGGCGTGTGCGCGTGGGTGTAGCTGCCGAGGTGCCACTTGCCCACCATGTGAGACTCGTAGCCGGCTTCGTTCATGTATTCCGGCAAGAGCTGCGGTTTGTCGTGGTTGTGGTTGAGGTCGTTGCTATGTTGAAAAAGTATATAGTTCGTATGTGCGCATCTCCGTTAGTCGGTCGGGCATCGAATGGGGATTGGGTTGAACATTCAAAGGAGTGGAGTGGGGAAGCAGCGGTGGGGACGGTGACGGCGGTGGTAGCGGTGGCGGCGGCGTGCGGGAGGGGCAGGGTCGCCGGAGAAGGAGAAGGGGTAGAGAAACCAACACTTGCGCGAAAAAAACATTCCGAGAACTAGTCCGATCCAACCTCACAAAGCCCTAAACCCAAAATACGAATCCTGGTGCCTCCGCTCGAGCAGAAAAGCCCTTCAATACCATAGGGTTGGATGGTATGCATGTTTGGGTGCGTCGGGACAGCAGGCTTTTCAAGTCCTTTCAAGTCAAGTCGGGGGCAGAATTGACGCCACTACCGAAGGGATTATTGGCTGTGTATCGTGTGCTCCCTCTCGTCTTGGGATCCATGCCGTGCAAGCAGGCCACAGCATGTAGCTAGGCGCCCGCGTGTGACCAGCCCTCCCCTCACCCACCCCCTCCTATCAATCGCCGCTTTCGCCCCCACCCCCTTCTTCAGAAATAGTTGGCAGCAGTATCCTAAACGGCTAGAAACTCGAGCAATATGTTGTCCGTGTCTGCGTCATCTTCGTGATGTCATTCGACCCCCGACCACAACCATTTGCCGCACCTTCTCCGTGAGGGGAAGGCCCCACGGTGCCCCCGGCTGGATGACGTTGTACTGCAGGCCGTACCGGACCGGGTAGCGTCCGGTCATGAGGGCGGCCCGCGCGGGCGTGCAGATGGACATGCTGTAGTACTGGGAAACCTGGGTTGCATCATCATCATCATCGTCGTCGTCATCACCATGGGGATGTTTGTATGAGAGACGGGAGATGCACTCAAGGTTAGATTTACAGCCCAGTGCCACGGAGTTCAATCCATCTTTCTGGCGATGGTCGGCCGGCAGCCGGCCGGGTGAGAGCCTACTCAAGGCTGAACAAAACTGAACCCTAACAACGATCAGATTTTCTTCGCTGCAACGACTGATGTACAGCTGATTCACGTGGTAATGAGGTAAGTCTTATCGGTTCAAACGGCAGACCGGGCGCAAAAAAACAAAAACGCGATGGATGAAGCCAGAGTGGACCGATAATGCTAGAACAATGTTGGCTGTTGCTTCGCGAGCCCCAGGCCCGCAAGACGACGGGCCCGCGAGACACGTGTAACTATGGATCTACAGTAGGTCAATAACGATGCCAGGCAACTTCGTTGGGAAAGGAATTACGTTGTTCCGCGCACATATGAAACGTCGTCCAAGGTGCTAGGCCGAAGAGTCGCTTGGCCTACCGTTCGCCCACGCACAAATACTTCCCAAGGGTTCACGTACAAACTGAAATTAACCGCCTACCTTCACCCCGCTTGCAGACAGCCTGTCCAGATTCGGCGTAACGTTCGCCAGGTCTGTGCTGTGGTAGCCGATGTCGTTCCACCCCATGTCGTCGATCATGATGAAGAAGACATTCGGATTGTCTGCGGTCGAGCTCGAAGGGTCAACCCCAACACCTTTGCCCTTCCCTCTCCCTCGCCCCCCCGTCCCCACGGCCGCGCCCGTTCTTTGTTCTTGAGCTGCAACTGCTGCTTCCCCGGCTGTGGTTTTCGGTGCCCGATAAAGGCTGCCGAAAGATTTTGGCACGCTCTCCTCCGATGATGTATCCTGTGATGCCTCGACCTTCGCCGTTCCTGTTGCGTTGCGTTTATTGGTGGTGTTGTTGATTGTTGCCTCTGCTACACGCCTGAATGTTGACGGCGTTGTTGTTGTCCTAATGTCAGATACATACACGTACACGGATATCTCCATGTACGCGCTACACAGTGAGTAGTGTAGTTGAAATAATGGTTTCAGACTATTGGAAAACAGACTAGTCTAAATGCTTTACCATGCGGCGAAGCTCGACGCTTGCTGCAACAACCATTTACTTGACAACCCTTCCACCTACCGACGCTGAGAACGGCGCGAAAAGACGCCTACAATATGTAGGCTACTGTTGCCGCGGTTGCATAAGTACACACAACGCACTTGTCTTCACCGCTCAGCACAGCAGTGTAGGGAAGACAGAGGAGGTAGCTGGGAGTAATTCTTTGGATAGAAACAGGGTGCTGTGTAAAGGACAACTCCTTCGAAAACAAGGGCGTCCGACGGCGACGACGAGAGCGAACGACTGGGCGACGGGCGCGGGATCGATGAAGAGCGGCGGCCTTAGAAGGCCGCCCGAGCGACCGGACGGAACCCGTCCCAACCAAACCCCAACCCAACGGCGACGAACGATGGGATAACGGCGGCACGATCGACGAAGGCCTAACCCAACCCGACCCGTGGATTGTAGTCGGATGGTCTGCATACAAATGGTTCTCACATTGGATTTACAGAAGAGTCATAACATCGTTGCACATATTGAGTTTCTTAAAAGGATCTACAAACGAAAACACTCTGGGAGAAGAGAACGGCACTGGTAGGAAGACCAGACACACCCGAGCGGCACACACACGCGGTATCAGCGAGAAGGGCCATGTACTAGTCTAGGCCAAGATCCAAAGAGATCCAAGGTGTACGGGGGAGGCGGCGGAATCGGTGGAGGAATCGGCGGAGCGTTTTTCGACAAGAACCACACCATCATACAATACACAAACGTGTTGCTCTTGGCAGAGCTGTTGCTCGCTCGCTCACAGCTTTGCAAAGATGTCGGTGCCCCACAGCTTGTGGGGGCTACTACCGTGTACATTTGGCGAGGAGAGCCCAGACGTATACAAAATGAGCACACATACACAGGGAGCGGTGCGCGGACACACCGCCATCCCCGCAACTTTAACCGTCGCTACTATAGCCACAAACATTGCGGAGCGCACCTGGACTCTGTTGAAGATCATGGCTCTCCGGATACGTCAATCTGGGGGCGTTTCTTTTCTGAACAGACACAAAGATCGCGACGAGGCCTAGGAAGGCGAGGCTGAACAACACGACCCCGACGGCCCTCGTGCTTAACAACTTCAAACCCTCTTTTCTCCGAGAAGACTCTCGGCATCCCGCGCGTCTTTGATAATCATTTGCGGCCCGTTGCGCTCCCGACGACGGCACCACCGGCAGCAGCAACAGACGCTTCTCTCCTACCGTTCCCTCGCGCTCTTGTGCCATCCCCGTCTCTCATACTGTTGGAAACGCTCTTCTTTGATATGTGCGGAGATCTTTCACTGCGGATCCAAGACACGGGCGGCGGGCAGTCCAAGCGGCGGCATGTTTTGCGCGCGAAAATTCCGAGGAAATTTCTTTTAAGTTCAGGCGGTACATATGCAACTTTTGTAGTAGTCTGAACATATGCATGCGCGTGCCTAAGCATGTCTGCGTCTCGTATATGGTGATTCACAACACTGCAGAGTCGGAGTAGCGCTTACATAAACAGCCCCAGCGAATAACTCCGTATGTGTTTGTTGTGCATGCCCAACGTGAAACTACGGTACACCAGGTATGTTGAAGTAGTTATGTAGAGCATGTACATTAATTATCTGTAGGTCAAACCGCGGTGTGTTTCATGCATCGCGCATGAAGTGTGGGAATTTTTTTTGCTTGCTCATGAAGTTTAGGATATTTTTTGCGTGCTCTCCGAACCGAGGCGGAATGGGCTCAGAAAACCTCACGAGCGATGCAACACCACAGACCACCACCTTTCTTTTTGCTTCGCCAGCAGAAGACAGCAGAAGAAAGAAACGTGTTCTCTCGGACGATGTGTAGTGTACATAGTATAGATGGCTTTTGTCACAGAAACCCTCCTTGTTGATTTTGTTATTAATAGGGTACTTGTTCCTTCCAGTGACAAGACAAGTATCCTCCACATATTGGACGCGAAATGGACGTCCTGGCGAACCATCGTGAACGAAAAACAGATACTGTAGGCTAGTTAGTTACGGATGGGTCTGCTTTGGCTTTCGCCCGAAAACCAGCTTTGATCCCTACCTAGTACTATCTGTACAACCGATACAAACAATCGTTTGTTGGTCAGATAACAGCCGTCGCAACCGTAGAGGAAAAATGTAATGCTAACCCCACAAAAGCAATGTCTACTGACGATACTCCACCACGAAAATCAAAACAAAACACTCTTTTCTATGATAGAGATAGATTCGTTGTGTCATACTAAGAAAAAAAAAAAAAAAACATATATTGAACCACACACAAAGGCACAGGACCTTCAAAGTCCAACCGGACTCTGAAAGTACGCCTCCGCGTGATAGACACAAAACAGACTGGCACACACCTAGGTACAAAACTCAGGAGAACGTTCGAGACGTTTTATGCATACAGAAAGAAAACTCGTTCCCACTCGAAAAAACAAAACTGAAGCGACAAAAGTAAGCCCTCAGATTTCAAACTTCAACAACATCTTTTCTGGGCACGACAAATCGACGAAAATCTCAACCCATTTAACACGCACTCGAAACACTCAAAATCAAACCAATACACGTGGGTGGGCGGGGCGGGGCGGCTGCGCGTGCATGTACCGACCACAACGAACACAACCCCCCCCCCCGCCTCATGTCTCAAATTCTATTCTTCACTTCTCGCCCCCAGTATCCCGGCGCGCCTCGCCCACTGATGCCTCCCCCTCGGCTTCCTGGATCCCCCCCCCGCCCCCTTTCGTCGCCGTGCCCCCGCCCCACCGTCCTCCCCCGCGAAGCAGCTCGCGAACCCCAGGGCGCACGCCCCTATCGCCGCGAAGGTGAACGCGAACGCGCAGAACAGCTTGAACTTCTTCAAGAAGGCCGCCCCCCACCCCAACCCGGGCCTGCCGGCGTGGGAGGACCCACCGGCGCGTACGTACTTGGACGGCCCCGAGAGGGCCGGTGTGTAGCCCGGGGCGTGGATGCCCCGCCCCGCGCGGCGGCGCTCCCAGTAGGGTCCCGCCAGGTTGTTCTCTGTCGGGGGCCAGGTCTCCTCGAAGGGGACATACCTGAGGGTGCCGCACCTCGAGCCCATGATCTGATTTTTGGTTCGGGTGCCATGATTGTTTTTTGTTTGTGCGGTGTGTTTTGTTGTTCGTTGTCCACACGTTCGTTGTTGTTGTTGTTGTTGTCGGGCGAGCGGCGCACCGAGAGAGAGGGAGGAGCGACGGGTGGGAAGGGGAGAAGCGTTTGGTGAGGTAGGTTTGTGGCGGGAGCAAGACAAGGGTTTGGTGAGGCGTGCCAGGCGGAGAACCAACAGGTGAGGCACAAGAGGCGGACACGGCAAGCAGAACAGATAGAAAAACACAATGGACAGAAAACTCAAGAGACAGAGAGAACAAGGAGGAGAAACAACAAGTAAAACACCAAAACAACCAAGATAAAACGTCGGAAGGACAACCCCGTCATCTGCCGTCCCTGTCCTACTGCCGCTGATGATGTGACGGAAGAAGAGACCGGGGCCAGACCATGCGAGTACAGAAGTCTCAACAAAGAGAGAAGCACCGAAACAACAAAGCACACACACACAAAAAAACGTGCATCAATTGGTCTGGCGCGACCGTCGGCCGCTCAATGTGTTATGCTGCTGAATCACAAAGACACAACCATACAAATAACACGATCAGCCCTACAAAAACTCAGCAACACGAGACCATTCGCGCCCTGCCGACACTGAGGTCTTTCCGTCGGCCGGTCTGTTTAATTATCGCAAAACCTACCGCAAGCTCAGCACGAAAAAAAAAAGAAGGAACATCCACACCACACCAACCTCTAGCGTGGTCAAGTTGACCCCGATGAACTCCTGGTACTGCTCCAGGGTCCGCTTGGTGCCGAGCCCGTACTGCCCAATCGACTCCCACATCTCCTCCGTATCCACCTTGCCCGGCATGCCGAACAGCGTGAACATGCGCTTGTAGGCCAGGTCCTTTGCGCCTGCCACCATCTTGTTGTTCAACCAGCTGCAGGGCGCAAAGCGGGGGGGGGGGAGGGCGACGGGTGGGAAGGGTTCAGGGGGTGGATGGGTTGACGAGCGGGGTGCGGAGTAGCCGTAGCATCGAGAGGGTTCTCCTGAAGGGTCCCAACAAAAACGAAAAAAGAAGGCATGTTGCATTCGAGAGATTCTATTTACTCCTGAGTATATTATTCTTTCCTCGAGTTAGTCGAGCCGTGTTCGAAACACCGTCCTGTTGGAGACATGGACGACCATGCACCTGCCGCTCCATGGTACCCCCCAAACGCATACCCTCGAGTTTACCTACAAATTGTAGGGGAGGTATCCTAAGCCGCCCCCCCCACCCCCCC